CAATGTGACGATTCTTGAGTTTACGTTGCAGGGTGTATCGCGAGGGCCCCTGAAGAGACTCTCCATCATGGCCTGAGACATCGGAGAATTCGCCTTTGCTAGTGTGATCAGCAGTAGCGTCTGTCTTTTCAGCACCCATTGTGGCGAGCGGTCGTGAGCGAAAAGGTAGGAGGGAAGAGATAAGACTTCAAGCTAGCCACGACTCATGCTAGATATATGAGCGTTCTGGGGTCAATGAGCCTATAGCTATCAGCATTTCAACATAGAGAGAGCCTACCGATCGACTACCGATAGAATTCTACCACATATGACTCAGTTGCGGAGAAGTGGCGCAATAGGGTGGGTGATGGCGTGTGATAGGGCGTGATAGGGCGTATGATAGAACGCCATCTTGCAGCAAGGGTGGTCAACATGGCGTTTGCATGGCGTTCTACCCAAAAAAATGGGCTAACCGGAAACCTACTATGGGAACTGTCAACAATCAAATCTTTTCGGCCGATTCTGCTCACCATGATATTGATCTATGATAAATCAACTGTCATAGTTTATGAATAGTTAGTAGTGATGATTATGATTCATTTCACCGTGACCTCACCAGAAGGCTAAGACTTGGCACATAATTCTTCTTCAAATTCTTGGGCACCCCCACATGACTAGGATAGATGCTTCAGATGGTGTGGAGGCTCGTGCGCGTAAAGACCTGCCTATAATCCACGCAGCAGTGGTTGCAGCAGCCTGTCGGGCTGCATTTATCATATGCACGTACTCTAAAAAACCCGATCACGCGGGTTCAACTGTCACATGTCACATTTGGCATTTTAACGGTGCCTGTAATGGGAAGAAACTAGCAGCCTCCTACAGCTGATCTCCAGCAGACGTTCAAGCCTCAAGCTTCAAGGAAAACAGGATCGATTGGGGGTATCGGGCCGAGCGCGGTTCCTATGACCTCTCGTTGGACTACAAGATTGCGAGATAACGGCCTACAGCGCATTCGGTCACGGTACTTAGCCTCAAACTCGCCTAGATTTTTGCCCTGCTTGTGCTAAGCGGTGTGCCTTTAAAACTACATGGGCGGATGAAACTTTAGCATTTTTGATATTTGATCAGACATTCAAACAATCCTTCTGCAGGAATGGAACTACCACTTTTTTGTCTGTCCCGTAGTGGTTGTCAGGGACACTGCGTACCATTAATCGAAAGCACATCTAGTAATGTTAAGCCCTACTTAATAGTAACAGTTTATTTCTTCAGTTTATTGGCCAGTTGCTGCTATGCAGAAAAGCTACCATAGCTTGAGTGTGACCAGCGTCTCGGTGAATATTCTACTGGTTACATGTAGCCTGCTTAAGAAACATACACGAGGTTGCACATTGAAACATGGTCAAAGACTTGTCGAGAACCTAGTGATTTGCAATGTGCAGCTTCCACATAAGGAAACTCTCGGAAGCCTTTGGACAACGGACCAAAACAACGCGTACGCTTTGCTCCGAGTCCGAGTTGTCTAGCACAACTCCTTACCAGTAACCACGGTGAATTCTGATATCGACACGAACCTTGTATTATGCGTGCAGCTTCATCATACCTCTGACCGAATCATGATAACGCATGTTGATATGGCTATCTCAGGCTGAACAAATATGTGACGTATCTTCAACTTGAAGTGATCCGATCATCCAAAATGAAGCTGTTGACATCTCAAACTAGTCCAGAGAATGCTACCCTCATTTCATGATAATGAAGGTATTACGGGCTGCGTTCTCTCTGTTACATTGCCGCCTAGCTCCTAACATCTTCACATAAACGCTAATGTCAAACCATGGTTTCGATCTGAAAAAGTATTTCGGTGTCCATTGAGTGGTTAGATGATATCAAGCCCTCCAATTCTCACCTCAGCGGCAAGGACTAGGCTGGGTCACAACGCAATGAACAGCGAAGGCAAGTGTCTTTGCACGTTTGCAATTAAACATGCAATTCACACTACATGATATGTCAGAAGTTTCAGGCCTGGGGTACTAAGCGCCTTCACATCTTATGTTCCTCTACCGCACAATATTCAGCTGTAATATATCAGCTGCCCGCTTGTGCTGGAGGTCGCTTGTTGCTGTCTCAAGCTGGTACCATTATCAAAGCTCGCGGTTGTAGTTGAGTGTGCCGTGACCATCCTTCACGAAAATCTCATTGTTGCGATACTTCGGATTTTGACGGAGTTGTACTGTTGCACGCACTAGTAATGTCATATCCTTTAGTGAGGAAGTGCCAATACTTACTTCATCGCCCCACGCGCGTCTAGGTCTAACAACGGATGAGCGACGTGTAGTGAAAGGTTTGTGCATTTGTGGATTGATGCACGCATGGTGCTTCAAAGCAGTTGAATAGACGCCACAAATATGTAAGCGACCACACACGCTTGCCTTTTTGCGACATGTTGTCGGGGCATAATGCTCGTCCACAGGCGTGCTTTGTATAGTGCTTCTCCGCATGTTGTAAGGTTAAAAACCTAGCGTTCTCTCCTTCACTTTTCCATCTCTTCGTCCTCTTTCCCTTGCCACTTCATCTTAACCATTTAATATTACTTGTTCAAATCATTGATATGTCTAGGTAAGTCTACTCACATGTCGACTCGGTATATACTGACGATGCCTTATGCATTTAGTGCCTCATACGACAGTCTTCAGATGTCGTTGGATAGGTTAGTATTCAATCTCGAGTCAGATGGCACGCTCCATCTCATAATTTTTTTTTAGCGGGACTATCCTTTCGTGTTCTCAACCTGGAATCCACAACGAAGCCATCGCTGACACGGTCTCGGAAGACGCCCAAGAGTTATCTTATGAAGATGTGTCCGCCATCCGGGCTGAGTATGTAGTTCTACCTCAATCCAAACATCGACTCAACTGACGGCCCGTGGCAGATGGGCTCGGGCCTGCGAGGAAGATGAATACCTAAAGGCGTATCACTGGTACGTGCCACCCCAACTGAGTGTCCACCATTGCTCATTCATTTTTCCAGGTCTTCAGCATCTTTACCGGATGTTCCAAATACTCAAATGTCGTTTCCAACGTTGAACCAGTTCACCGCTCCGGTGGCTGGTCTCCCCCAATTTCCCCCATTCGATCCGAGCCAACACTATTTTCCGCAGCCCTCTTCCGTCCCTCAAGCGTCACTGGAAGTCCCCGCATGGTCCCAGTATGGCTATGATGGTGGTTCGTATGCGAATGGACCTAATTTTGCTCAAAATTACTTTCCCACTGTCGTCGACCTAGAGCTTTGGGCAGCGGGGGATCCCCGCGCATATGGCCCCCGACCTCCGTTCTCTCAAGAGCAAAATGCGCATTTACAGGCTGAAGTGTCTATCCCCTCGACAACGGATTATACCGGCAACGCATACGCTAGTGCCATCATGGACACGATGTCGGATACCGAAACCTTTTTGCCGTCCGCATCTGACTCTGACGCGACAATGTATCTGAGTGATGACAACAGCTTGGAGCCATCTTCCTCCGCTCCCAATGGGCAGATGTGCGCCAAACGTCTCAAGCGTAAAACTCGCCATACCGTTAAATCCGAGGAAGATGGTTCCAGTTCATCTCCCGCGCTAACCACCCGCAAGCGCAGATGCTTGGACGACGACGACGAAGAAGAAATCCGAGAGGGGAAGTTTGGTTTTTACAGACTAGCGGACGCTACTGCCGTAGTCATGGGTATGCCCGTTCACGACCCGAAGCCGGTAGATATCAGCAGCCGCAGGACTCATGATGCCCACGGTAATCTTCTTCGAACTAGGAGATTTGGAGCGATGGAACTCGACGATTCCTACTCCAAGCGTACCGTCAAGATTACGAACGAACTACCCGCAGGGATGACTTGCGTACGAGCGTGCGGTTGGACGGACCAGCCCTGCGGGCTGTTTGTAGAAATGAACAAGGCCCGCGTCGCACATCACCTGTTGCACTGGCACGGTGTAAAATCCACAGACACGACTGCCTGCAAATTCGAGGATTGCTCAAGATCAGAAGCGATGCTCAGTTTGGGCCGTCACGTTGAGAGCGTCCACTATACTACGTCTTGTGAATGCCCTTATTGCGGAAAGCGGTGGTCGAGATCCGATTCTTTGGATCGGCATCAAGCGACATGCGGACCGCTCCTTGAAAGCAAGGACCGTGCTAAGAAGGGACGTCGCAAGTTCACTCTCCAAGACCCGAAGAAATTGGTCTACGGGTATATTGTTCCTGCCCGCAACACGACATAGTCTAGCGTACGACTGTACGTCCCCCTTGGCCTGCCAATCTGTCACTCTTGCTAACTTCCTGTTGCCGTGATCTAGTATTTTCTCCGATTCTTCACGAAACTTGTCTATCTTCACGACTACGATACTTGTTTTATTCTTTCATATATTGGGCCAAATCATTGTACAACCAACATTCACACTCCTTCCGCATCGAATGTTTCTTTTTCTCGGTGTTGTCCTCTCTTCATTGTTGCTTGGTGTATCGTCTATATGTTTATCGGATAAACCTTATTGCACGCTGGACGTAGTTATCGTATCTCACCATGTCGCTCGGTATATGTTCTACATGCTATTTGGATGGAAGTTGGATGACGGAGCTCTGGATCTTGGAGTTTTGCATCGTACTTAATTATGGATCAAGAATGAATATGACATGTTATGTTGCATTTACGTCTTCCCTGACACCGCCCATGCTTTGACAGCCTTCATGCATCCCTATCGCATATCACCTTGAACGACTCTTGGGTACCCGCGATCGATCAATTTCTACTCGATACTCATGCTAGCCTAACCTTCCATTGAATAACCCTGCGACTGCGCTTGACATCCGATTCAAGCACCGAGACAATGACCAGAACCTTTATCATACAATCACGGTGCACATGAGAGAAATGCTGCCTTGTCACTCAGATAAACCCTCGACATTGAATAGCCTTGGACTCGGCTACCGCTTCGAGCACCAACTGAGATTTATAAGTAAGTATTTTACGAGCTGATCTCATCCAGCGTTAGTGCGAAATCAGATCCTCCCACTTGACTTCGCATTATGATTACATCTCTGTCTTGTGCTCTGCCCACACAGGGCTCCTCTGATTCTCCTCAATGTACGCATAAACCTGCGACCAATCTCGGCATATGTGCGTGACACCCAAGCCGTCTGAGCCTGACACCGATCCATTGGTGTAGACCTGGCTCGAGGGTAGTATCAGAATTGCAAAGAATGGCCTGTCGCAAGAAGTTGAGGCAGTGGCCACTATGATCATTGGGCCATTAATAAGGGCTAATCGAATCTTTTGTAGACAAGAAGCTGGTGAAACATCGAGACACCAAACAGTCGCCCTGATAGAATCAAGTGTCTGACTCATGCACTGACGAGAATAGAATAAATGCTTACTTACCATTTGCTCCCAGACGCACGAATCCGTGGCCTTGTTGAAAGTGATCGAGCAGATTCCACTCCGACCAGGCCGTGAGCCCCGAAGTACTGTAATACTTCGAGTCTTCAAACGTCAATGCGACGATCTCCAAGTCGAGGGGTAATTCGATCGGATGATCATTACCGATATAAGCTGCATCAAATATGCTGATGAGATGGCTGTCAGTAAGGACGACCTCGACATACAGTACTGTTTATCATCGACAGACTGATGTTGCAAGCGCAGTATGGTGAAGATGTTCAAAATGATGCTAATGGCGAAAGCACTAGGCCCAAATACGTGCAATATGCCCGAGAGTCGAAATTTGAGGTTGTGAAGCATTGAGTCTGCCGTTAGACGTGCTCTGAGAGAAATTTTCAGGTCGCTGAATATACAAGGCAACTATCAGCATTACATGCTCAACTTACCAGAAAATACTACTATAGCTTGAGCTGTTGCCGGCAGGCACGGAAAATAACGTGTCACAACACGCCAGATTACTTTATGGTGCACATCAGGGGAACCCATCTGCAGTGTGAGTTGTACTCGGTTGAACAAACTGCCGGACTTTCGACAATACTGACTGATCTGTTGCCTCGAGTCCTGAACATCAGCTTCCATCTACCTGTGCGTCCGATGCTCGCATAATGAGACAAATGGATGCTGATGTTAAATGGCATTAAGTATGTCCGAGGTCATGACAGCCGCGAGTCGCACCTACTCCACGGGTGGCAGAAGTCGAGGATTCTGCCAACTGGCCGCCGGCCTGACTGGATGTCCCTGGTAGATGAAGAACCCAATTGCAGGAGTATTTCATAGTTCTACCGTCAGTCCCTCCCCTGCCAAGGAGCAATGTTAGATTCTGAATCAGAGTGTCAGTTTCAACATACCAGCCCTCCAAAGG